TCTGTCTAAAATGCAGGCAGTTTCAGCTTCCAGGCAATTTGCAAAACCAGACTTCACCTATGAAAATACTAAGCATGACCTACGATATCACCACTTTGGGAAACTACAATCACACCATCTTAAGCTTTTGGAGTCGGGGTTACTCAAGGAAGTGCAGCATTTTAGGAGTGCAAAGGACCTCCAGGGCATGCCCATTTTATTTCTGGCATGAAGAAGTGAAGGAATGAAGAAACGTCGGCCCGGAGAAGGTGACTTGCCAGAGAGGACAGCACTAGCAGGCAAAGCTTGCTCCAGAGCCCAGGTCGGCTGAGCCATGGGTCATATTCTCAATGTCAGGCTGTGCCTTCGGGCAGTGATTCTCAAAACTGTGCAAGCCTCCGAATCACCTGAGGGCTTCTTAAAAACTGCCCCACTGGCTCCGCCTCCGGAGCTGGGAGTCGCTAGGGCTGGGGCAGTTCCGGGAATTCGCCTAACCAGTTCGCAGGGGACGCTATGGCCACCGGTGTGGGGGCCCTACTCTGAGACACGCTGACCCAGGACTGAGGAACCGGGGCTTTCGGCACCCAACACAGCTGACCGCCGACCCGACTTCTGCGACTTGTGTGACTCCTGGAAAGGCTCCCAAAACTCCGAGGGCCTCAGTGTCTGACATCTGCGTCCAGGGGCGAGGAATAAAAAACAAAATGTCCATAAAGCACTAGCTTCGCCAAGCGCCTGGCACATTCTAAAGCAAGTGCTTAGCTTATATCCTACAGCAAAGTTAACTGAATTACCTTTTTTTCTTTTTCCACGTATCCTAGGATGGCTACAATTCAAATGACAGACAAGATTAAAGACTGGCAAAGATGCGGAGCAACTGGAATATTTTTGGTACCTATATTCATAAGAGCGAAAAATGGTAAACAGTCCAAAGTCCAATGACAAGCAAAACTATTTTAAAAACTGGTGTGTGTGTATCTACATACCCATATATACACACATACCGACGATGGAATACTACTCAATAAAAAAGAACAATGAGGGGTGCCTGGCTGGCTCAGCCGGTAGAGCACGTGACTTTTTTTTTTTTTTAAAGATTTTATTTTTTATTTATTCATGAGAGACAGAGAGAGAGAGAGAGGCAGAGGGAGAAGTAGGCTCCCAAGGAGCAGGGAGCCCGATGCGGGACTCGATCCCAGGACTCCGGGATCATGACCTGAGCCGAAGGCAGACGCTTAACCATCTGAGCCACCCAGAGCACGTGACTCTTGATCGTGGGGTTAAGTTTGAGCCTCACGATGGGTAAAGAGGTTACTTAAAAATACATAAATAAATATATAAATACTTAAAAAAATAACAATGACACAATATGAAATCTCCAAAATATTTTGAGTGAAAAAAGTCAGACACAAAAGACTACATGTGGCATTATTTCATTTATATGAACTTCAATAATAGACAAAATTAATCCATGGTACAGGAAATCAGATAGCCTTTGCCTCTGGAGGAGGTGTGGGGAACTGACTGGAAAGGGACAGGAGGGAAATTTCTAGAGTAATGGAAATGTTCTATATCGTGATTTGGGTGAAGATAAAATGAACATAGGGGCGCCTGGGTGGCTCAGTCGTTAAGCGACTGCCTTCCGCTCTGGTCATGATCCCAGAGTCCTGGGATCGAGCCCCGCATCGGGCTCCCTGCTCAGCGGGAAGCCTGCTTCTCCCTCTCCCACTCCCCCTGCTTGTGTTCCCTCTCTCGCTGTGTCTCTCTCTGTCAAATAAATAAATAAAAATCTTTAAAAAAAAAAAGATAAAATGAACATATACATTTGTCAAAACTCATCAAACTATATACTAAAGACCTGTGCATTTCACCACAAGTAAATATATACTTACAAAGTAAAAGTATATGCTATATTTTATAAATAATACACAAAATAACTTTTTTTTCAAAATAACATATTTTATGTAAAATATATATGTACCTGTAAATTTTTTTAGGCACTTTGTGACAAAAGACTGCCTTCCCATCTGAAATGAACCAAGTTCTAGTGATCCCAGAATCCTGGGGTCAAGCCGTGAGTTGGGCTCTGGCTCAGCAGGGGGCCTCTTTCTCCCTCTCCCTCTGCCTGTAGCTCCCCCTGCTTGTGCTCTCCCTCTCTCTCTCTCTCTCTGTCAAATAAACAAAATCTTAAAATAAATAAATAAAATAAAAAAAAATAAAAATGAACCAAGTCCAACCTGGTGGATCCACTTAGCTTGGTTCCTTCACAATCCAGTCCTACTTCATATATTACCATTTGCTACAGACTATTTTAGTCTGTGCATCTTTCCAGGGAGCTGCCATGAAATAGACAGCAGAATTTTCTCCCACAGGAAGACCGTGACATTTCCATACAGACGGCACCCAAAGTTCCCTGTCTCTGGGAGTGGCTAGCTCAGGGTGCAGACAACACAAAAGTAACATTTTCCTTTACCACATACCAAGGATGAGTCTATCTAATATGATTACAACATAGTAATGAAGACATAGTAAGAGCAATCCTGTTGTATAATTTAAATCATATTCTTGCTACGAAGGGGACAGAAGACTAGTGAAATGCTTCCTAGTGTCATGTTTCTGTAATGAAGATGTTGGAAGAAGAACTGTGCCCATGTAATTATCCCATAAAATAGTAGCTTTCACACTGCGGTGGATTCCAGCCACATCTTTATGCTATCCTGAGTAGAACAAGTAGATTTACACACACACACACACACACACGCACGCACGCACCTGCTAGGAACAATCCTATGCAGCACACAGAATGGTTCTGGGTCAGGGGAAATAACATTTGGAGACACTACAGTTTCCTTTCCATCCAGAGGGGTCTGATTCCAAACACACTTGATTATCTGACCCACCCTTCCTAAGTTCCATGATGAGGCACAATGCCTCTTGGATCTTTGATTACTGGTGGACAGAAGAGGTTCAGCCACACGCAGCATATTGCATGTTAAAAACAAGCCCCCATACAGGACCCACTAGACAGAAAATAGACGGATAGGTACCCCTGCCTGTCCTTCCGCCAACTCTTTCTCCAAAACACCCCTGCACCGAGACGTGTGGCTGCTCCCATCAAATGCTTTGACACCGTGTTTCCTCTACAGTTCTATTAAGTCCAAACAATCCAGGTACTGGCATTGAATTCATAATCCAGGTTCCAAACACCAAGAGCTAGGCTTAGAAATAAATCACTGGTCAAATTCAATTAAACATAATAATAGCTCATCTTCATTGGGAACTTGCTATGTGCCAGGCCCTGTTCTGCACACTTTCCACTTATTAGCTTATGTAATACCTAAATGAAAGCCAGGTTACAGATGAGGACACACTCTCAGGGAAAGGAGGTGTTAGACCTCAAGCAAAGCCTGGGGAAATGCACAATGAATGAGGCACAGTCTCTTGTATGGAAATGAGAAGAGGGGCCTAACTCAGAGTTCAGAGTAAGTAAAAAACTACAAAGTACACATTTAGGGGAGCCCAAAGCAAGAAGGGTTTGTTCAGATGCTGGAGGACTTCCTGGAGGAGGTGTCCAAGTGGAAGATGAGGACATAAATGGCAGGAGCTTTTCGTTAACTGTCTGTCTATAGCTCCCCAAACTACCAAAAGGCCTGATAATTCCTTCTGCCCCCTCCTCTGTTTCATCTGGAACAGGCCTTTTTCCAAGGATCTGCTCAGCCCAGCCCAGCCCTCCTTTCCTTTAACACATTCCTCCAGCTGCTGCTTGCCCTTCCAGGCCCTCAGGCACACATGGGAACTTTTCACCACACTCAACTTTGCCACCTCCTCTGGTGCTTTCATGGAGGGGAACCTGTGTCACAGTACTTGGTGGTGCAAGTGATCCTTTAAGGGAATCAAGTCCCTCTCTGTTGGACTGATAATAGGGACAGCCCTTTGCCTGAACCAAACTGAGATGCAAGGGACTCCCCACCACCAGCAGTCATCAAAGACGTGGGTACTTCTCTATAGGCTTCTAAGAGAGGAATCTGCCTTCATTCCCTCCCCAGAAATCAAGCCCTCCAGTCCAGGAGGGTCATCCCCTACCTCTTCCTCCTACTCTTGCATTAAGGACTCAAACCCTCACTTCTGATACCTGTGTGACCTTGGGCAAGAAACTTATCCATGTCAATCCCGGTTTCCTTACCTGTAACCTGGGGTTTATAAAAACAACTCGCTCTCAGAATTGTGAATCAGAATAAAACAACCAAGGAAAGCATTCAACACAGATCCTGGCACGTAGTATGCTAACAGCGAAGAGCGTAGCTACCATTATCATTATCAACGATAACGATGGTGATGGTGGTGGAGGCAGCAAAAATTTGGGCTTGATTTGCGCGGACAGAAATACTCCTTCTTTCCCTCCCCCCACGCCTGGGGCTGGGCCACACGACCGAGACACATGCGTCATCCAGCTCCGGGGTGAATGCAGGATCTTCAGGCGGCGGGCACAGGAACCGCAGGGCGGTCGTACCCCAACCCACCTGGAGGGATGCCGGGTGAAGCCGATTTCGTGATGGAGGAGGTCAGTAACCACAGACCCCCCCCTTCTCGTTCATACCCATTCTCCGGGCCTGTGAACCGATAAGTGGCAACGGAATGCAGCGGCTGCGCCTGCTGCATCACTCCCCAGAGGGGTCCGGAGACTGTCCACTTTGCCCCTGCCTCAGTTTCCTAACTCTCCTCCCGGCACAGGCGAAGCTGCGCTGCACTTGGTGGCTGAGATAACAGGTTGGCAAACCAGGCCTGGGAAAAGTCTCCCAGCTTCCCGGCGCAAATCCAACCCCCTCTTTCCAACGCAGGTGGGCAAACAACCCACCATCTCTCAACAACTTTGCTTATTTCACCACGACAGGGCGCACGGCCCCGACTTCCCCTCTAAGCTGCGCTCGGAGGAGGAACGCGGGAAACCGAGGTGCGGCGGCGGGCACTCCGCAGGCCTCTCCCAGTTTGCGGGCGCCTCCCGGAGGCGCGTCCCGTCTTACCTTGTCTGACGGCTTTGAAGGTGACGGCCTCCTTGCAGCTGTCGATGACTCCCAGCACGTCATAGCGGGGCAAGCCGGACACCCGGATCCCCTGCACCTCCAGAAGCAGCTCCCCTTCGCCCAGCCGAGGGCCCTCGCCGCCGCCGGGAAGCCCCGCCGCTTCGGCTGCCGCCACCGCTCCGACATACGGAAACTCCCCATTCTCCGCGCCCCCCAGCACCGTCACCCCCAGCTCACCCTGGGGTCCCCGCTTCACGGTGCATTCGTGAACCTTGCTAGTCCAGTGGTTCTTCTTCTGGATCACTCTCGACATGATGGGTTACACCCCTCCTCCCCACTCTAACACAAAAAAATAATAATACAATGAGAGACAGGTGCCCCCCACAGCACAAGCCCCCAAGCCCCCGCTGGTTCATGGGAGAGACATCTCCCCCAAAATAACGCAACGGGAGAGAGAAACTTGGCAGCCTCGCTCCCCTGCACACACTCGCGCACTCAAGCCATCATAAAACAAACTTTCTGAGCTTCCCCGCGAGCCCTGCACAGGCGCCCGTGAGCTTTGTTTGCATTCCGGTGCTTCTCGGTCCACGTTCCGGCGCCGGATCGTTCTCTCCCGGACCAGAGTCCACTCTGCGCCGCTTGGGTTATTTTTTTTTTCCCCTCCCTTCCTTCCTTTCTTGCCTCTTAGAAATGCGGTGTCTCCTCTTTGCCTCCCGCCTGGCTCGCCTTTCCTCGCTGGCGGGCTGTTCCTGAGGGTGAGGGAAGTCCTTCCAGCCAGTTGCTGGGAGCCCTGGAGACGCGGTTGCCGACTGGGGTTGGGGGGGGACCGGAGGGAAGTGCCTGCGGCCCCTTTAAGCAGATACAAAGGCTCGGCTTGTTTTGTTACAGTTCATTCTATTCCGCGCCGCCGAGCGCAGCGGCCGGCGAGAGGAGACGCGCGCGCATGCGCTCCGTGGCCGCCTGCCGGCCGGCCAGCCCCACCTCTCCTTCCCGGAGGGAGAGATTCCAGTGTGCTTCCCGTTGGGTCCTAAAACCGATCCTCCAGAAAGCAATTTAGCCCCCTCCACGCACCCCTCTCATTCCTCCTTTTCTCTCCTTGCCCTGGAGTCAGCTAATCACTTGGGGTAGGGGCATGTGCACGTGTTTTACTCCGACTGTTTGCAACTTTTGAAATATGGTCAATCTGGTTTTGGCATTTTAAAACCATTTCAAACAGGTGGGGGTTGGGGAGGCTCACACACTCACCCTCGCGCTCACACTCACGCACACACGCACGCACTCACGCCGGCCTAAGCCTCCTCACCGCCCTCGGCCAGTGGCTGGCCACGCTGTCGGTCACCCTGCCGGGCTTGTCCACCCCCGCCCCCACCCCCCGCGGTACTTCCCTCTAGTACCCCGGAGCCGGACCGGACCTGGAGGCGCGCGCCTGCTCCTTGCCTGCCTGCGCCCACCGGTTCGGGTCCTGGAGCTGGGACTGCCAGTGTCTCTGTGACCCTGGGTCCTCTGGCCCCCTACCTGGGATCCCTGTGAACTTTGGGATACCCTTAAACTTTGGAGCCAACTTTTTAGGACACAGGGAAAACTATAGTCAGGGAAAGAAGCCAAATGGCTAGAGGGGGTTCAAGTCTTCAACCTAAAAGGGACCTAGCTTTTTAACTCTTTCCAGCAAAGATTTTTGGAGCCAGTCATATATCCCAGGCTCAAGTTCCTGACTGGAGCCGAGAATCTTCGGACCCGTCCCCGGACCAGGAGATTAGGATCACCCACTGGTCTGCGATCTGCACCCGCGCCCAGGCGCCCGCGGGGGCGGGGGCGGGGGCTAGGCAGCCACCTCTCCGAATTCACAGCCCAGGGATCGGTGCCGCCCTGGGGTGCGAGCCGAGCGAGTGTCTATCCCTGCTAGGTTTCCGAATGAGCTCGGGGGGCTGCGGACAGAAAGAATACCCTGGACCGGGAAGGCTGCCCTCCCCAAATAGCACCCAAATCCAGAGTCTCCTGAGCAATCTCTTTTCCTCAGTGATTTATAACATGTATGTTCATCAGTGGTCACAGAAGAGATTCCAAGTGCTAAACAAGGGAGGGAGGGGGAGAGACTCGGAAAGGATGGGATGCCGCTGTGGTCGGGGTTGAGAGCCCGGCTATGCTGTAGGTTCCAGCTGGTCCGATCTTTGTGTGACCTTGAGCAAGCTCCTTGACCCATCAGAGCTAAGTAAGTATAACAATACCTTACAATACCTTACAAGTATAACAATACCTTACAATACCTTACAAGGTTCTTGGAAGTATTACATAGGAGAACACTTGTAAAGTGCCCAGCTTGTAAAATGAATACGTGTAAAGTGGCATATAATAAAAACTTATATTAGTGGTAGTAGTAGTAGTATTTGGAAAAACAATTAGGAAATCATTTGGGGGTCTCAAGTTAGATGATGATGATCATTCCTCCTCTTTTTTCTAAACCTTAAAATATATAGGCACACACTTAAATGTTTTGGAAGGACTGTTTGTAGGGTGCTATTCTAAGCTAATGAAAATAAGGGAAGACTGTTGATGCTTCTGTCCTGGGATATTCAGAACTGAAAATCCCATTGCCTAGTATTTGTGCAAGAAGGAAGTGGCCACTTCTTCCTGGCTCTTAGTGAGGGAAATTTCATCTCCACTCTCTTTTCATAGAACCAATCATTTTGTCTCAAACTTAACTGAATCAGAATGAGTGGGAGCTTTAAAACTTTATTCCCAAGGCCTATCACAGATCCATCCAATCAGAATCTCAGGAATGGGTGCTCTCCTCTGGACTTTTCAGATCCCCCCTGCAGCGGTGCTGGTACACAACGCCGAGGACCACAGGTCTAGCATCTTGATTCCTGAGCATTTTTAAAACACAGAACCTTTTGGAGAATAAATCTATGGTCCACATCATCCTCTAGAGTGTAAGCTCCAGGAGGGCTGGGAACTTTGGCAGTTTGGTTTACAGACATGTCCTCAGTTCGTAGAACCATGTTTTGTACCTAGTCAATGCTCAAGTATTCGTTGAATGAATATCCCCATAAAAATGCACATTTTGGCATACCATCTTAAAATGGAGTCACAAATGCCCCTACAAATCACTAGTAAGCTTGACCTTGTGTGTTTTTCCCCTCCTCCCCGCTCCATATTTTAGTAGTCTGGTTGCCTGCCAAGAATCCCCCACCTACCTGGAATCAGTGACTCTCTACCTCCCGCCTGGAGCAGTCTAAAGGATGAGGCCAAGTGCTTCACAGGTCCTCCCACGACAGCAGTTACCATCTTCCTTCCCCACGGTGCCAAGTGTCCCTGCCACTGAGAAGGGAAAAGGACCAGGAATTTAGCATCCTTCAGATTTCAGATGTGGAATAACCCCCAGAAAAGAAGGGATACATGAAGGTACAGAGGGCAGAATGGAGAGAGGTATAGAGAGACACATTATAAACCCAGGAACATAAAAGAAATAACTCGGACCTCCAAAGCAGCTAAAACCACCCATTTCCAGGTACTAAGTTTATGATGTTCCCAGACTTTCTGCTCCTCCTCCCACCCTTTTTGTGTCTGCTGTTACACCCAGTCCAGTTCCTGTGGCCCAATCTAGAAGCAGGGCAGAAATCATATGTATCCTATCCAAACTTTGAGTTCTTAGCACCTAAACCCATGCCTTGCTTGGAATGTGCCCCATACACACTTGTTGAATGAGTATGTGAATGCACAGATCAAGTATGACATTAAACTGGGGCTCCTTGCTGGCTTAGTCAGTATAGAGCATATGACTCTTGATCTCAGGATTGTGGGTTCGAGCCCCATGTTGGGTGTAGAGATTACTTTAAAAAAAGTGTAACATTAAACTATAAGTATGTGACCTTTGACACAAAATCCATTTAGATTTGGTGACTAGAATTAAGGTATTTATAGATTGCTTTCTTGAAAGTAGATTTTTCTTGAACAGAGGTAAAATGGGATCCAAGTGTTCTGGCTTCTTTCACTTCTGCTATGACTTTGGCAATATATTTCAATGGAGAAAATAATACCGCAAAATATCTAACTTTGAGACTTACCATATGTGCCAGGATCATTCTGTGATTTAATCATCACAACAACTGTGTGAGGTAGGTAGGACTTGGATTTTACATGAATGAACTTGATTTTACAATTGAAGAACATGAAACAAGTAAAGAAACTTGCTCCCAAGCATGGAAGTGACAAAGCTAGGATACAAATCCAGAGGCATAATCCAAAGTCCATACTCAGAACCACTGCACTGTGAAAGTGTATAATATGGCCATCTGCCATTTAGCATATTTGAGGAACAGCATCTTTTTGGCTCCTGAATCTGCCACATAGTTGGTGCACCCTAATTAAGTCACCCTCCTATCTCTTCCCTATAATCTGATGGAATATGCTGTCCCACTCTGGAATCCAATCTCCTGTTCCCCATCCACAGACTCAAAATGAATAATGTACTGGGATGTAAAGAGGATTAATTTGCAAATATTTCTAAATTGTTTGGAGAACTGTGGGCTGTGGTACAGGTGATGTGCCAAACATTCTTATACTGTTATTGCACAAGCATTTCAACAATGAAATCTTAAGAAACACAGTAGATTCAGGTGAGAACTAAACTGTAATACAATAAACTCTACACAAATTAAGGTATTTTTTTTAAGATTTTATTTATTTATTTGAGAGTGAGAGCACAAGTGGGGGGCGGGGGCACGAGGGAGAGGGAGAAACAGGCTCCCCACTGAGCAGGGGGCCTACTGCGGGGCTTGACCCCAGGACCCTGGGATCATGACCTGAGCCAAAGGCAGGCACTTAACCAACTGAGCCATCCAGGCGCCCCACAAATTAAGGTCTTATTTTCATATAACTATTCCACTAAAGGGAAGAAAAAAAACCCACAAATATAATATGTACGTCTCTCTTCTCTCTCCCAAATACGTTTCTTTCCAAAGTTTTCCGGTTGTGATTAAAGAAATTTATCATGGCAGTCTAAAGTGGCATTTTACTTCATTTTTCTAATAGCGGGAGGATGGGAAATGAGCTGGTCAGCTCTGGGGCAGAGGAGGACATATAAATCGGTTATCTTTTAATTTCTGAAGAATGCCATCAAGAGGCATAAATTATAGATATCAAGATAAACACTCTGTATTCAATAAGGTAACTGACTCCATACTGGTGATTTAGAGTGGAAGACCAACAGAGAAGGTTGAAGCCATTAGTTGAGAAGGAAGGGAAATGGCAATGGGAGCCATTTTCCTAGTTATCTGTGGGAGGCACTTTTATGATTTACTTGATAACTTGTTCTTTTCCACACAGGGGCAGCAGATGGGTGGTTTTCTCTGACTGTAGTACTCCTCCCTTCAGTACTTTCAGATAGGCAAGAATAAATAAAATGGTAATTCTTAGGATCTTTCAAGACATCACACATGAACTATTCTTTTAATACCCGGGAAGAGTAACTTCAGGAAAAGGGTCTAATCCTGGCT